TGGAAAAGATAGCGGCGGTATCTGGCACGGTTCCTAAGACCATTAGCTCCAGTCAGGCTCCCCGACTTGAAATTTGGCCTCTACTGCTTCACATCTGTGGATTGTCAGCCACTTTCTTAATATATATTCTTTCCATTGCCTCATCTCTGAAATTGTGTAACTATTAAAAGAGCTACAGAGTATTATATGTGTTAATGTAAAGTTCTTAGAGCAGTGCCTGGCACTACAGAAAGTACTCAGTGAAAGTGAGCTTTTATTATTTTAAATATTTGACAAAGTTCCTGCTTCTCCAAGCTGACTCTCCGGTTCCCATGTGGTTTCATTCATGCACTGTTATTCCTGGAAGTCTTGGCATGGCCACTTCCCAGTTCCAGGAACAGGCAGTCGTTGTTTTTTTTCTGGCTTATCACATTGAGATACATGGTTACTACAAGTGACACTTAAACGTGTCAGGCAGTTTGGGGCCTCCTTTCTTGAACTTTTCCTAAGAGCAAACTTTTCCCTTAATGCCACCCTGTTTACAACCATAGTAGGGCTTTGAACAACGAGAAAATGCAGGGAAATGAAAGACATATAAAGGGAAATGAATGGATTTCTGCAGTTGGATAGCAAAGTGGCATGTGAAATAGCTGGTTTATAGATCAAACTGCCTTTAGATCTGTAAAGGAGCTTGGAGTACAGGTGGAGAGACATCAAATGTGTGCGAGCAGACGCTTATGTACCTCTCCGTCTTCATCTCTAAGAATGTCTCCCTCTTCTGCTCTGTAACCTCACTGGTCTTCCTTTCCTTGAATGAGGCATGTTCCTCCAGCTCAGGAATTCTATCTATGAAGTTCCCTGTCTCTATAATGCCCTCCAACACCCCACCCACCATACCTCCGTAGACTAGTTGATTTGAGATTTCCTTCAGCTCCCAGTCTGACTTTTCTTAAACCCCCTACCACTGTTTAAGTTAGTGTCCTGTAACCCTTTCTTGTAGCAACATTAATTTTATTGATAGCACTTAGAGTGTTTATAATAATCTATTACATTCTTAATTGTCTGTCTCCCTAGTGTCTAGGTATTGTGCTCTAGTGCCTGGTATAGTGCTTTGCATGCTCTATGCCTTCAATTAATTCCTTAAAAACCACACCAGCTTTATATTTAGTGAATATTTATATAGGAAGTATTTCTATATGTATATATGTGTATCTGTGTATATACACACTCTATAGCACTACCCTGAATAGTGCTAAATTAAAAAGCCAAAACACTTTTTAGTTAATCAGAACTAACAGTTGCACTCTTCAGTTTTCCATATGTTCTTTTAATAAGTCATTAGAAAAAAATGATGTCTCCATATGTTGTCTGCTGCTGTAGCAGAATACCTGAGACTTGGTAATTTATAAAGGACAGAAATTTATTTCTTACAGTTCTGGAGACTAGGAAGTCCAACATAATCATGTGTTGCTTAAAGACAGGAATACATTCTGAGAAATGCATCATGAGGCAATTTGGTGGTTGTGAGAACATCATAGAATTTACTTACACAATCCTGGATGGTATAGCCAGCCTTCTATTTAGGCTGGGGTGGTGGCGTGGGGGGTGTTGAGGAGAGTCAGATTGAGAGCTGAAGGAAGTCTCAAATCAATTAGTCTATAGACGTGTGTGTGTGTGTGTGTAGTGGTGGAGGGCATTATAGACAGAGGGAACTTCACAGGTAGAAGTCCTGGGCTGGGTGTGTGTGTGTGTGTGTGTGTGTGTGTGTGTGTGTGTGTAGTGGTGGAGGGCATTATAGACAGAGGGAACTTCACAGGTAGAAGTCCTGGGCTGGGGGTGTGTGTGTGTGTGTGTGTGTGTGTGTGTGTGTGTGGTGTGTGTAGTGGTGGAGGGCATTATAGACAGAGGGAACTTCACAGGTAGAAGTCCTGGGCTGGGTGTGTGTGTGTGTGTGTGTGTGTGTGTGTGTGTGTGTGTGTAGTGGTGGAGGGCATTATAGACAGAGGGAACTTCACAGGTAGAAGTCCTGGGCTGGGGGGAACTTGGCTCATTCCAGCAAAGGAATGACCAGTGAGATGGCAGATAGCCTACTAGACCTAGACTGTGTGGAATAAGGTATTGCTCCTAGGCTAGAAACCTGTATAGCATGTTACTGTGCTGAATATGGTAGGCAAATATAATACAATGTCAAGTATTTATGTATCTAAACATAGAAAGGGTACAGTAAAAATAATCTTATGGGACCATCATCATATATGTGATCTGTTGTTGTGGTGCATGACTCTATGGAGGAACCAGCATCTAGTGAGGGTCTTCTTACTGCATCATCCCATGGTGGAAAGTGGAAGGGCAAGACAGCAAGAGAGAATGGAACTTGACAAGACTACTCTGGCAATAATTAACCCACTCCCAAGATAACAACATTAATCTATTCATGAAGGTAGAGTGCTTATGAACTAATCATCTTTTATTAGGCCCCACCTCCCAACACAGTTGCATTGGAAATTAAGTTTCCAACACATGAACTTAGCACCTGACCTAGTTAAAGCTAAGTGGTACAAGAGTAAATTGAAATTGAAGCCTTTTCTGTCTTGCATAAAAAAGATACCTTAAAAAAGAAAAAAAAAAAAAAAAAAAAAAAAAAAAAAAAAAAAAAAAAAAAAAAAAAAAAAAAAAAAAAAAAAAAAAAAAAAAAAAAAAAAAAAGATACCTTAAAAGAGTCTTTAAACAAATTTCACTGAAGGGTGTCAGTCTTCCTTTTTTCAGTGAATTAGAGACATCGATGCAAAGAATATGAATTATTGATCATCTTAATTCAGCTAGTTAGTGAACTGTATCACATTTATTAAAGTCACTTTTATTTCTATGGGTTTAGTTTCACCATTTATTAGGAGGAAAGGAAACAACTCAAATTTGTGAGGGAGCTCTGGGTTGTCAGGAAAGGCTTTTCAGAGCAGTAAAGCAATCAAATGACAGTAACTGATTCAATATTTGTTTCCTTTGTCTCTTTTTTTTACTTTTTAGTTTTGTAGAACACTTGATCACTGCCATCTCACTTGGTCCTAGTTGATGTATCATCTACATTTTTATTCAAGGTGTACTATAAAATGCTATAAAAGGCTATCCTAAACTGGTTTTAAGCATATTTATTTTGTTTGTTAAGCATAAAATACGCAAGAGGATTTTTATGGAGTGACTCCTTGTTACAAGGTACTTTGCGTTTATAATCAGCCTCAGACCCCTCAGTTTCATTCCACAGCTTACAGGTATGATGTGCTGTATACTCAAAAGCCTCACCAGCTGCTTGCCCCACCCATTTGCTTAAATGCATCAGTTTTTTCTAAGCTTAACATTTACCAAAACCCGAGTTCAAAAGATGAATATTTTTCCTTGTTAGATGTTAACTAAACATTTTTAAATGTACAAAGTTTGCATACAAACATAACCCAAATGACATGAAAGTTATTTGATTCATGACTTACCTGTGTAATCTCCTGGCCTACTTGAAATTCCTCCCTTCCCTCTAGTCTAGTATCTATATTCTCAGTTATCGGGAGGAAGTTAGGGACCTAGAATACTTGTGATTGTTTTCAGAGCAGTAGCATTTTGCTAAAATAATTCAAAACATATATCCCTATCTTGGGACTTGAAGAGAATGTGAAATGCTTTATCTTCTGTTTTGCGGGAATGAGGGAAGGAGGTTGTTCTTAGCCAATTAACAAGTAAATGTAAATAAATAATCCAAATCTGGTGTGGGTAAACAAATTTTAGGAACTGTCAAAATTAAGTATGCTTCCCCTTTGGGTTCCAGATTTTACTTAATACTTTTTGAAAGCAGTAAGATAAAAATTTCAGGACCTCAAGAGATGGGTCAAAAGAGTTTCACTGTAATACGAATCGTGAAGCCAGAACTGGAAATCCCCTGTGCTGTTTCTTCCTCTTCATGGTGGTAGAGGTTACAGTTGTCAAATGGTCCAGAGAAACAATGAGAACTTAGGATTTCTGATAGAAAAGTTTTAACAGAGGTGTACTTGTATGCAAATAATGTGTGATGCCTCAGTTTCCTCCAAAGTCTTAGTTAACAGAGTTAGAAAAAAATCAGATTATATTTGAAGTTCTGTGTTCATCCTGGAGTAATTATTATTCCAATGGTGCAATATACAACATAACTTTAATGCACTTTTTGGTATAGCATAAAGATTTTCTCTTTCTCTGAAGTATTTCTGAAATGAAAAACAAAGTAAGTGTGGCAGAAGCCGTTATTTATGAATTATCATGCTAAATTAATTAACTCATTAATTAATTTATTCAGGGCACACCCAGTTATTCCCCAAACTGAGTGACATGTATCTTGTAATAGACACATTAACCTTGAGAAAACCCAAAGGATCATTATAACAGCAAACAAGAATGTAGGCATCCACATAGTGGATGACTTTAATGACCTGGCACACAGTGCTTTATCTACTTGGCACATGTATAGGTACAAGGAACACTTAACATTTTGCACCAGAGCTTATTATATACCTTTTTCAATGCTTTAGGTATTACGTAAATGCTAAAATTCTAAAACCTATAGTAAAGCAAAGACCCAGGTTTTATTCTACAGTAGTTTTGCCAGTAGGTCTCATCCTTACTAACTTACCTTTTAAGATGAAGAACAATGTAACCAAGTGGGAAGAAAAAGAGCCAATATGAAGAAATTGTCATTGTTTTGAAATCTGCTTCTTTTCCTTTCCTGTATTTCTGTGCAAGAAGAGAATCATCTCTGACCTTGTGAAAGGCAAATACCATGTGTTGGTATTTTATTACATAATTATTATATTATATGACAATATAATCATTGGTTGGTACTCATTTGGCAAGGACTTGAAATTCCCTGCTTAAGATCCTCCACCTATTTTTTACAGCTGGGTTCCCCAACCCCTGGATCACCAACCAGTACCAGTCCGTGGCCTGTCAGGAATTGGGCTTGCACAGCAGGAGGTGAGCAGCTGGTGAGTGAGCAAAGTTTCATCTGTAATGACAGCTGCTCCCCATCACTTGCATACATTACCGCCTGAGCTCCACCTCCTGTCAGATCCGCAGCAGCATTAGATTCTCATAGGAGCAAGAACCGTATCGTGAACTGCTTGTGTGAGGGATCTAGGTTATGCTCTCCTTATGAGAATCTAATGCCTGATGATTGGTCACTGTCTCCCATCACCCCCACATGGGACTGTCTAGTTGCAGGAAAACAAGCCCAAGGCTCTTGCTGATTCTACCTTATAATGAATTGTATAATTCTTTTGTTATATATTGCAATATAATAATAATAGAAATGAAGTGCACAATAAATGCAATGCGCTTGAATCATCCCCAAACCATCCCCAACTCCACCCGTCCACGTCTTCCACAAAACTGATCCCTGGTGCCAAAAAAGGTTGGGGACCACTGTTTACCAGAATACATAGCGTGGGTTTATAAATTCCCTATCTTTGCAGCACATCCTTTATTTCTGGCTTGCATGGGACTTGAAAGCCTAAAACAAACTAAATGCTAAGAAAAATTGTTTTTAAAATTATGACAAATTTTTTTTATTTCAGATATATAGATCTGCAGTCCAGAACTATGAATTTTTTTCAGTTGAGTAGTCTGCCAAAAAATAAATAAATAAATAAATAAATAAATAAATAAATAAATAAAAACTTGCCTATGTTTCTTCTCGTACATTTTATTTAGGATTTGCCCTTAGACATTATTTAGTGCTTTTCTGACATTGTAGGGAAAGTGAGAATAACTGAAACACTAGTTTCTTAAAATTTCTGTTAAAATTGGTTAAAGGCCATAGAACCTTTTTTTTTTTTTTAAGTTAAGCATGTTATTGAGAGAGGTATCCTATAAGAAGTAAGGGGCAGGTAAAGATTTTAGAGATGTGTAGTCCAGTATATTAATTAGAGGGGACTACCTATTTCTAATCCGGAATTACTCATCTTTTCTGATATATCTGTTAAAGTACTCTTAGCATATTTTAAGAAAATTGGCATTTTAAAGTATAGTCTTTGATGGTAAAAATGTGAGGTTGACAAAAATCATGTCCTCTTATATGTATGAATTTAGTCTTCTTTATACAATTCTTCCTATGATGGAATCTAAAACACAAATGTCTTCAAAACTTTTAGTCTACTTTGGTTACATGTGTTTATTAGCTTATTGTTCACCGAATAGATTAATGGCAAAAAAAAGTATAAATTTTAATATTTCTACCTTTCTGGCTTGATGAGGTCTACAGCATTAATTTCTGACTGGTTAATGCAAACTGGGATTCCTGTTGTCCTAAGAAAATCTGGGAAGTTAAATCAGTAACACAAACACATCTTTTGATTTATTTCAGGACCACATAAACCCATTTTGAATTATTCAACCATTGCTCAACATCTTGAGTATGTGTAATTAAGAGGTGACTATAACTGGAATGTTCTTAAGACTTTAAGTTGATTATAAAATTTTGTGCTTAATGTTGGCAATAATAAAAACAAAACAAAAACTTTTATTTTAAAACACAGTCTTGCTCTGTCACCCGGGCTGGAATGCAGGGAAGTCATCATACTTCATTACAGCCTGAATATCCCAGGCTCAAGCAGTCCTCCCACCTCAACCTCCTGAGTAGTTGGGACTACAGGCACATGCCACCATGCTTGGCTAATTTTTTTTTTAGTAGAGACAGTGTCTCTCCATGTTGCCCAGGCTGGTCTTAAACTTCTGGACTCAAGTGATCCTCCTGCCTCAGCTTCCCAAAATACTGGCATTATAGGCAAGAGCCACCACACCTGGCCAAAAAATAATTCTGAAACAGCAGGGAGGAAGGTGGTTTCTTCTCAGGAATTCTAGATTTTAGTTGAGCATGTAAAGGGATCGGTTGACTTACTAACCACTTAGGATCGCACAGTAAGAGAATTTAGTTAAAGGGTAGCCAGCATGGGAATGGGCCTGGGAAGAGGAAGGGCAGTTTGTGTTAATGTGCGTGGGTCCAAGAAAAAAATGTTGGGTAACAGAGTTTTGCCTAATGCATTGTTGCTAAAAGGGATGAAGGGCATCAGGATCTACAGGAGATGGAAAAAGTAGTGACTGGATAGTACTGGGAAAAACTAGAATCGGATCAAGGCACTGGAAGGCAGAATTACTAGGTAGAATGTTTGCTGCTATTTAAGTTTCTGTATAAATACCAAGTACAACGTTTCACTTGGGTGGTCAAGGTGCTATGGCTGTGACGACTCCTGAGAGTGAGTTTTCTAGTAAAAAAAAAAAAAAAATCTCCAAATGCACAGAATAGTCTCAGGCCTTCTCAAATTTGCAAAGAACAGGTCCACAAGACCTAAATTGCAGTAGTGTAACCTGATACTTAACATTTTTTGCTTTCCTGCTAGAACATTCCTGGGGCCTAAGTCCGGAGACTGGGAACTGAACCACGCATTTCCTTTAGATTGTGCAAGTTGTGAAGGTTGATGTTATTAGCTTGGTTACTATTTGGAGTCTTAGCTCATAGTGTGTCTTTATGGCTTTCTGCCTCACTGGACCCTCTTCCCAAAAGGCTTTAGAATGTGTTCACCATCATGAGCTGACCAACAATTTCTAAATTCCTGCTCAGAAACACAGCAAGGGGAATGCAGTCAAGCACAAAGGGCTTAAATGACCAGGTAAGGCTGGGCTGGATGAATAAAGAGGAATGTCCTATGAGTGTGACTGTGTAGTTTTACAGTATCCTGTTTCAACGGTTAACATTTGACTTGTGGCCTTGTAGACAGTGTATTAATATCAGATCTTCTTTTTCAGAACTGTTTTAATCATGGACAAACAAAGTAAGTTATTTTAAATGTTTACTTTCCTCCCTATAATGTTAATCTGTTGGTAACTTGTTATTTGTCATAATGTTTTATTCAGCGTCTGAAAGTATATAATTTGCTTTCTGTTGTTTATGCTCCAGAATACAATGTCTAGTTCAGTATTTTGACTATAGAGAAGATGTACAACAATACCACTACCACCAGGTTCTTCATTAAAAATAAGAAAACCTTTTGGAAAGCTAAGAAATGCTAGATTTATTGGGAAATAGGTTCTGTAACATATATTCAAACCAGAACAATATTCTCTTTTCTCTATGTATTTTCTATCTATAAAGATTATTCAGTCATACTAATTAACAGATAATAAGATTTCAGTTCATTGTAATAAACTCCTCAGATATACACTTCGACATATATTTCATCACAGACACATGTTTGTATGTTTAAATAAATACCAGTCATTATGTTCTGGCTTTTTTTCTCAAGAAAATTCTAAGTAAGATGGATATTTATCAAGCAAGTAATAAAAACTTTGTCTTATTAAGATATTAAGGTTCTGAAGAGGGACACCACTACAGAGGGAAAATTATGTTCAAAATTCCCACTACATAGGGAAAATTAAATTCAAAAATTAAATCCTGTTTTTCTAAAATGCTTTTCTTTATTCTCTCTTTCATCTTTGTTGAGGTAACAAAAAAATATTTATCTATTGCTACAGTGTCAGCCTTATTAAATATATGAAATAATCTCTAGGACTAGACTCCTCACTTTTCCCATGTGAAGTTTTATGGTTTTCTTTTTACTTACAAAACTCAAAGCTTTTTAAATGTAAATTTATATAGAATTACACTGTTTTATTTGCCACAAGCTTTAAGTTGATTCCACTGAATTTGCAAAAATTTATCTCGTCATGGTCATAGTCACTTTTAACTTTTCAGTTTTGTATATATAATTGTATGTATATATGAATGCATTTGCCTAAATAGAAATAAAATGTGTATATGTGTGTGAATAAATGTGTATATATGTATATATACATACATGTAGACATAAAAATAAAATATCTTTAAGACAATGCGATAGACTTGTACTATTTATAAGCCATTTTAAGTTGCATTTCAAAAATGCAAAAATGAAACCATAGTTAGCATGCTCTTTGTTCTACTTGAACACCTGCCCATTCACTCATTCTCCTTGTATGAATTCCCCCTGGAATGCCTGAAATCAGAATCATTGCTTTGGTACCAAAAGCCCAGAGATTGTGAGCTCATGATTTCTTGAGTCTGTCTGCTCCTGGATATGTGTATGTGTGTGTGTGTTCTATGTTCTAGTATTCAAACAATGTTGCTTATTAAGAGGTATCACAATGTGACATACCTGTCAAGGATAGATCTTTACTTCACACTTGGAGAGTATTTTCCTGAAATCTCTTCTGAGTCTGATGCTGTTGTTTCCAACTTAAGTTTGGAGTAGGGGCTGCAGGCAGGGCCTTATTAGCTAGAGAACTAGGGAGTTAGGTCAGTCACTTAATGCTGAGAAATAGAAGAAAATGGATGGGAAAGAATGATGGGGAGTTTCAGAGATCACAGGGTATGTTGCAGTGTTTTTCCAGGGAAAAGCCTTCATGTGTTTTTTGTTGTTGTTTTGTGTTTGTTTGTTTGTTTATTTATTTATTTGAGACGGAGTCTCTCTCTGTCGTCGCCCAGGCTGGAGTGCAGTGGCACCATCTCAGCTCACTGCAAGCTCCGCCTCCCGGGTTTAAGTGATTCTTCTGCCTCAGCCTCCTGAGTTGCTGGGACTACACGCATATGCCACCATGCCTGGCAAATGTTTGCATTTTTAGTAGAAATGGGGTTTCATTATGTTGGCCAGGCTAGTCCTGAACGAGAAGGAAAGCAGTTTTTTTTGCCTGATTTTACACAATCACCATGCACTGCATTCTGCTGAAGTCATGATGAAGCCATTTATGAAGGAGAAAGGCCGGGGCAGGGGGTGAGGAGAACAATCCAATCTTCCTGATAAAACCACATGATTAGCAAGTTGAGTGGTCTTTGAAAGTTCATAATAGAGATACATACAAAAAAAATGTTACAGTGAAAGTTTGACCTATATGTTCTTCCATATTGATGCCATGCCTCCATGATTCTAAAAAAATATTTTGAATTTACAGTTAGTAATTCATAAGGAAACAGATAAGGACATAAGTGTAGTGTCTGCTACACCTTAAGCTGTATGAAAGCAGAGCCATTGTAGCCACAGAGCCTAATTCAAGGGTGACACAGGACATGCTCAGTAAATATTTAGAGGCTGGCTGTGGTAGGTAACTGAATGACTAGATGGACATGAATATTAATATTTAGGAGGCTGAACCATTTGTGCATATATTAAGGTTACTCAAGCCTTCTTAGCAAGTAACAAAGTTTAATATGCTAGTGTATTATAATTAAACATTATGGCTTTTGTGGGTCAAAAACAGTCATATTTGGGGAATTTCATATGGTTCAACTTTATTGGTATAGTTCCAGAGTAAGCATAAAATATATAAATACTGAAGTATATTCATTATTTTAAATATTTAAAATAATAATTCTTATAGCAGTGACGATAGATATCTTTAAAATCATCCATAATTCTACCATCCTCACATCCCATTAATTTCATTTATCTCTTTCTTCGTAGTCTATATGTAATTTTAAAGCTATCTTTATTTTATTGTCAACAAAACATGGAACTGAACATTCATCAGGGATGTTTCAAAAACTGGTGATTCAGCCCCAGTAACTTAGCTGTCTCATTTTATCTAAAGGAAAATTTGTTTGAAACAAATTTGCTAATCGCAAATTAGCTCTGATAATAGGCATAGCTTATGTTAAGTGAAAATTTTACTTCCCCTATTTCAATATAGCATAAGACCACACAAGTGACAATTATCTGAGTACAATACATTGTTTCTTTCTAATATGTATTTTATTTAATCAAACATCTATTTACCTCTCCTTGAATTGCAGACACACAGATGAATGCTTCTCACCCTGAAACAAACTTGCCAGTTGGGTATCCTCCTCAGTATCCACCGACAGCGTTCCAAGGTAAAGTAGTTGATTAAAGAAGAAAAATGAAAGTTAATCAATCAGTCTCTCTTGAGAGAGAGAGAATTGTGCATTTGTTTTTATTTTAGTTGCTCTTTTTTTAAAACTATATTAATGAAATTTTGGCAGCCTAGTTGTTCTTGATTATTTTTATTTGGCTATACATTTTCCATAGAAGTAATTTTTATTTATAGAGGACAGTAAAGGTATAAAGAAAGCTAGTAAAAACAGCATTAGGTTTAAATTTAGCAAATGAAATACAAGACTGCACATCCCAAAACACAAATGTTAAGTAAAATATTTTATTGATCCTCCATCTGTTCTGAAAATTATGATCATTTAATCACATTTAGGAAATTTATTTCTGATAAATTGAGTCATGTAGCTTGGCATGTGTTCAGTGAGAGTCACATCAAAATGATAAGACTGCTTAAAACTGGAAGTAATAGAAATTCAGTTACGTGGGAATAATTCTCATTTTAATTTTATAATATATATGAAAGCTTTATTTTTGTATATATACTGATTCAGCCCTGTATTTCTAAGAAAAATAATTGAGTCATTTGACTACGTATGCAATTGAGTACATTTTTTCTTTTCAACCAATGCCTGAAAGAATTCAGAGATTTTCATTTAGGCAAATGCAGTTATCCAAAATACTAGAACTTTAAAAATAGCAAAGGCCATAGCATGTCCAGATTTACAAGCAGGCAGGCTACCCAGATCTTGAAAGAGCATCCTGGGGATTTAGGATCAAAGGGAATGTGGTTTGGATAGAAGGATGTACCCATTGTATGCTCTTCCCTGAGTAAACAAATGTGCTTAGGAGCTGAATGTCATGTTTAATTGCCTAGCAAGAAACCTCCCTGCGTCCTGGATCTCATCCAGATGTTTGCAACTAAAAGAATATGAGCTAGATAAGCTCAAAGACTCTCAGGTGGTGGCTCATGGGAACCATGCCTGCACTGAAGTATCATCACCCAGAACCACTTCAAAATAGTAGTGCCAGGGCACTATTCCAGAAAAATTAAATCATAGCTTCTGGTGGTGGAACTTAAGGAATAGTAATCTTTTAACACCCGAAGTCATTCTAATGTGAAGCCAGGGTTGAGAACCTCTGCTCCAAATTCTTACAGGGTTGCTGTTTGGAAAATCATTAGTAAGTCTATAATAGTCATCCAAGGCACTTAAGAGAATTATGTAATCCACCCTATCACTAAATTAAAAGTGGATATACATAAATAATACAGTTCAGATATAATCAGACTTGAGAGTTTGCTGATATATATATATATATATATATATATCACTCTACAGCTTTATTTTGTTTCTCAAGTCCAGGATTACATATAGCACAAGTCTTAAGATAACAATGATGCTAACAGTAAGGATAATTTAAAATTGAGAGCTTACCATGCTTTAGTTATTGTTTTAAATGTGGAATTAATGTGGATTAATACATTTAATTCTCAGAATACTCTTATGAGGTAAATATTGTTAGTTATCCCCATTGTGTATGTGGGAAAGCTGAGGCATAGGGAGTTTGGATCAGACTTCAGGTTCTGCCTGCTTTAAAAAAAAAAAAAAATTGTATAGGTAAATGTGCTGGTAAACTAGGTTCTGCCTTCTTTACTGATACTTATGTGGTAGTCTTAAACAAGTTGCAGTACCTCGAAGCCTCAGTGTTCCTATCTATAAATGAGGGTGATATTTTCAATGTAGGTTGCTTTGTAGAGTAAATGAGAGTATATGTAAAACACTGAGCACAATGCTTGCAAATAAGAAATGACAAGTATTTGCTAACATATTTAAAATATTTTAAATCAATTAGTCTTTACATAAATGATACTAGTATTCAAATTTCAGGTAATTCTTTATGCTTAATTCATTCATTTGATGAGTAATCAATCATATTTTCAGAGTCTGGGGGAAATTATGATGATGTTAAAAATGTGAGAAATTAAATCACATCTCCACATACCCACTGGTCTGCCTATGGTCTGGGTTCTGTGCTGACGCCAGTGATCTTTAAAAATGTAAATCTGCTCATATTACAGACAGTGTATAACCCCTATTTTATTAGTGTCCTATTACTTTTAGGATAAAGGCTAACACTAAACCCAGGATGGCCTTTTCCATGCTCTCTCTTTAACCTCTTCTTGAGCCTGGCTTGCTGCTATTCAGCTAGACAGGCTATTTTTCAGATTTTTAAAGGCCTATGTTAGTTATTGTCCCAGGACTTTGCTCTGAAATGTTCTTTCTATGACTCTGGCCTCCTGAACTCCTGTGCATCCTTCAGATCTCAGCGTAAAGGTGACCCCTCAGGGCAGCTGTTCCTACTCCTTCCCTTTTTCTCTTCCCATCTCAATAGCGACCTTTGACATCTCTAGTCATAAAACCGTGGTCTCTTACTTGAAAGCATTTATCTCTTATTCTAATTAATCAATTAATTACTCTGGTATTATAGCTCCCTAGAATAAGTGGGGATTTAAAGTTGTCTCTCTCATTAAACAATGATGGACAGGGATTGCATCTGTGTCTTCCATTGTAAATTCTAATACTTTTCTACTCCTGAAAATTTTGTAAGATATAAATAAGACCATGGAACTCATTCTTCTGCTCAGAATCCTCCAGTACTTGCCAATCATAATTGGAACCAAATCCAGACTCCTTACTAAGGCCTCCTTTGATGAACAGCTTCCTATTGCTTTGCTAACAGCATGTCAGATTCATTACAAAGTCAGAGGTATTCTATTTGCCTTTCTTTCCTCCTGAAGCATTTCTCACTAGATCTTCATATAAAGCTTTTCTCATCTTTTAGACTTTGATGGAAATTATATTTACCTAAAGTAACTGCCTCATGCCCTGCCCTCCCTGACATACATTCTTCTCCATCACATTCATATGAATTTTTTTTGTTCTAAATGTGTTTTCTTTCTCTCAGAAGTTGACTGTAAGCTCTCTGACAGCAGGATGCCTCCTTGAGATTTGTGTCCTCATATTCTACAACACAGCCAGTCACATTATGGATCATTTGTAAATATTCATTCATCATAAAGGAATAAATTATAAAAACTTTATTTATGATGCATTATTGTGAGGTTTAATCTGTTTTTCTAAGCCTTATTTTTTAAAGGCAAATGAATTTTGTCATAAATGTTCCATTTAAAAGAATGTATACATTTCCTATTCTAAGTATTGCATTTTGCATAGGCTTTAATGTTAAAATATTGAGAAACACAGTCCTTTGAAATTATATTCCACTGCTATGGAATTTTGTGGACCATCCAAACAGGCATATAAATCTTCATTGTAATCACATATTCATAGAGAATATGAAGTACACTTACTCTTATTAAATTTCTGCCTCTACTCTGCCTCTTACAATTTTTTCCCATCCTTGTTTCTCAAATTATATTTTCCAGAGACCAAAGGATGTTAAATTGTGAAATTTAAATTTCTAACCTAAATATTACAATGAAATTTTCTTTTAATGAAGAAGGACTTAGGAAAGCAATACATTATGGATTAAAACATAATGCAAAGGATTAACTCAAGCAGGTATCTGGAATGTACTGAAAGAAATGACATGCTTTCACCTTCAACAGTGGCACTATAATATTTTGGGCTGGACAATTCTTCATTGTTAGGGAGCTGTTCTGGGTCTTTGAAGATGTGTAGCAGTAGCCCTGGCCGCCACCCACCAGATGCAGTATTATCTTCCCCTCCAGTTGTGACCAAAAAGAGTCTGCAAATCTTGTCAAATATCCCTGGCAGAGAGGGGGCAAAACTACCCCCAGTTCTATACATACATTATAAGTCATTGGCTAGAATTTCAGAATTATCATTTTTCACAAGGTACTTTGGCCCTAGAAATGCTGACTCAAAGCCATTATTTTGGGCCTTCTACCAATGCCATGTCTGTTTCCCTTGAGGCTTGCCAGAATCTTTATGTAGGTGACTGTAGATCATGGTTATTTACTTTCATTTTCTCAGATATTAAAGCATATTTTCCATCTGAGTTTTGAATGGTAAGGGTAAGGCTATTCACTGCCTGCTATCCTCAAAACAGAAGTGGATATGCAACCACAGATATTTCATTGAAAAATCTCAGAAAGATAAAAGCATATCTTAAACATCACAGATACAGATTTCTATGCTGAAATGTCAACTTATAGATAGATGGCGTAACCCTAAAATGGTTGATGATTCCATCTTTGGTGCAGTTATAAATCATTTCACTTGTTTGTATTTCAGGACCTCCAGGATATAATGGCTACCCTGGGCCCCAGGTTGGCTACCCACCCCCACCAGCTGGCCATTCAGGTCCTGGCCCAGCTGGCTTTCCTGTCCCAAATCAGCCAATGTATAATCAGCCAGTATATAATCAGCCAGGTGGAGCTGCAGGGATACCATGGATGCCAGCACCACCGCCTCCATTAAACTGTCCACCTGGATTAGAATATTTAAGTCAGGTAATTTCAAAGACACAAAATACTCATAAAAAACAGAACTGTGCTTCCAGCTTGCTTAACCAGATTAACAAATGAATAATTCACCAAAGTCTGAAATGGCAAAACTATATATTCTGCTAAGAGATTACTCTCATTCTTTTAGGTCAGGTTCAGTTTTAAAGCAAAACACAAATGCCTTAGAAAATTGTACTTTCTGTGATCTTAAATACAATCTATGATAATGGCCAATAACAAACATTTAATTAACACTGTTTTCCTGTCTTTGTTGTATGCCTGATACATGTATTAACTCATTTAATCCTTATAGAAAGTCTATGATGTATAGGTGCTACAGTTATCTCCATTTTTCAAAAGAAGAAACTGAGGTCCAGAGAAGTTATATAGCTCCCTCTGGGGTGAGAACCTAAAGAGTTGAGACTGTTTTTTTAATCCCCAAACTTTGGTACTGAGCAAAGTGCTCTTTAATCTCAATACTGAATAATTGCTTTATAATTTGAAATAAAATTTAAATTAAGTTTATTTTTGAGTTTCAATAAGTGGCACCAAACAAGGGGTTAATATTTTATGTGTAATACAACTCACCTTTTTATTGTAACTAATAAAACTGCATTTTTATGATGCTGCTTTTGTTCTTTGGAAGACCCAATTTTATAAATGCCATTAATAAAGGAGTAAAAAGTCCTGGATTTTGTTGCACTGAATTATAATTAATCTCAGCAATAAGAGGTTTAACATTTATTTGGTGTTAAAAATCAGGTAGATCAAATAGAAACAAGAAACTCCGTGTGTCCAGCCAGTTTTCATTTCATAAATCACTTCTTTCTTGCACTATCTTTAGTAACTTAATTTCCCACAATGCACTTAAGTGGCACAATCATAGGAATTTTGGGTCATTATTGTATTATGCAAGAAATACACAGAAATAGATATTTTAAAAATCAGGGTCTCATAAAATACATAAAGGATGTTATCACATATGACAAAGGCTGATATTAAGTATGCTTAATACAAATTTGAAACTTGTAAAAAAATCTCTTTGATGGCTAAAGAAGTTATCAATATTTCTTGAGCCTCCTCAAGAAGGAAGACTGTTTTCTACTTTTCAAATTGTTTTTGACACATAATAATTGTGCATATTTATAGAGTACAGTGTGGCATTTTAATGCCCATGTACTATGTGTAATGAAAAATAAGGATAGTTAGCATACTTATCACTTTCAATATTTATCATTTCTTAGTGTCGAAAACATTCCAGATCCTCTCGAAAATATACAATAAATTGTTAATTATAGTCAACCTACATAGCTGTGGAACACTAGAATTTATTCCTCCTATCTAAATGTAATTTTGTATTCATTAACCAACTTGTCTTTATAACTCTCCTCTCTACCCTTCACAGTTTCTAGTAACCAGTATTCTACTATCTACTTTTTTTTGTTGTTTGGATGGAGTCTTGCCCTGTTGCCCAGGCTGGAGTGCAGTGGCGCCATCTCAGCTCACTGCAAGCTCCGCCTCCCAGGTTCAAGCGATTCTCCTGCCTCAGCCTCCCAAGTACCTGGGCTACAAGCGCGCCCCACCACACCCAGCTCGTTTTTGTATTTTTAGTAGAGACGGAGTCTCACCATATTGGTCAGGCTGGTCTCGAACTGCTGACCTTGTGATCCGCCTGCCTTGGCCTCCCAAAATGCTGGGATTACAGGCGTGAACCACCGTGCCCAGCCTCTACTCTCTACTTCTAAGAAATCAATTTTTTTAAGCTTCCACTTATATGTGAGAACATTCAGTATTTTTCTTTCCGTGCCTGGCTTATTTCACTTAACATAATATGTCCCTGGCCGGTCGCGGTGGCTCAAGCCTGTAATCCCAGCACTTTGGGAGGCCAGGATGGGCGGATCACGAGGTCAGTAGATCGAGACCATCCTGGCTAACCGGGTGAAACCCCATCTCTACTAAAAAGTACAAAAAAACTAGCCAGGCGTGGTGGCGGGCGCCTGCAGTCCCAGCTACTCGGGAGGCTGAGGCAGGAGAATGGCGTGAACCCGGGAACCCGGGAGGCGGAGCTTGCAGTAAGCTGAGATCCGGCCACTGTACTCCAGCCCAGGCGACAGAGCGAGACTCCGTCTCAAAAAAATAAATAAATAAATAATAGTAATAATAATAATAATATGTCCCTTAGGCTCATCCATGTTGCTGCCAGTGATAGGATTTCATTCATTTTTATGGCTGAGTTTTATTCCATTGTGTGTATCAAGAATGAATTTTTCTTTATTCATTTATCTATTGAACACTTAGGTTGATTCTATATGTTGACTGTTAATGCTGCAATAAGCATGAGATTGCAGATACCTCTTTGACATATTGATTTTCTGTCCTTTAAAATTTTTGTTCTGAAAATTTTGAAAAATTTGAAAAAATACCTTTTTAAAAAAAACAGTAGTGGGATTGCTGAATCATATGGTGGCTGTAATTTTAGTTTTTGAGGAACCTCTTCACTGTTCTCCATAATGGCTGCTCTGATTTACTTTCCCACCAACAGATTTCCCCTTCTCCACATTTTTACCATTATTTGTTATTTTTTTGTCTTTTTGATAATAGTCATTTTAACTGGACAAAGATAATATCTCATTGTGGTTTGGATTTCATTTCTCTGGTGATTAGTGATGTTGAGCATTTTTTCATAAACTTACTGGCCATTTATATCTATGTATGTATGTATGTATGTATGTATTTATTTATTTATTTATTGAGACGAAGTCTCGCTCTTGTTGCCCAGGCTGGAGTGCAATAGCACAATCTCGGCTCGCTGCAACCTCTGCCTCCTGGGTTCAAGTGATTCTCCTGCTTGAGCCTCCCATGTAGCTGGGACTACAGACGCCTGCCACCACACCCAGCTCATTTTTTGTATTTTTAATAGAGACAGGGTTTCACCATGTCAGCCAGGATGGTCTCGATCTCCTGACCTCGTGATCTGCCCACTTTGGCCTCCCAAAATGCTGGGATTACAGGCATGAGCCACCTCAATTTACTAATTGTTAAAGATACTCCAGTGTAAATCAATTATATTTGACCTGAATTTTTCCACATTAATAATGAACACAATAAATCTTTTATTAATTAAAAATATTAACTTCAGTTTTATACTAAAAAGTAATATAAGCTATTAAATATTGATAACTGATTACATGTACTTTAAAAAATATAAATACATGAATTTTAATTTGGTTAGCTTATAAAAACCTTCATTTGACATATACTTACCACTCATTTTTTTTTTTCCTGTGACAGATAGATCAGATACTGATTCATCAGCAGATTGAACTTCTGGAAGGTATGTATTCATTGTTTTAATCCTGTTTCTATACAGAGTAGAAGTTTATGCAGGTAAAGGCACATAAACCTCCACAAATATAACACTCTCACTTATATGGGACAGTTAAGCCGGTTATTTACAGTAATAAACATCAGCAATCCGTTTCTAAAATTTAGGAATCAAAAGGTAAAATGCTATTATGTTGGGCACCTGCCCTCAGGATATTGACACTAAGTTAGAAGAAAAATAATCAAAACCCTTATTTTGCTCCTGTCTTCATACATCACTTTTTTTCTGACTTCTGCCACTTAAGCTATTTTCTCCGTAATTGTGATCAGCTTAAGAATGGCACAGAGCCACATTCTAAAGTAAGTTATCTTTTTTATTCGGATGAGGAAGTTTGGGAAAATTATCATTTGTGCCCACAGTTTCTCTTGGGAGTTAAGATGAATGCTATAAAACCTTTGTATACCAGGTCGGATGCAGGACACTGCAGTGTTGGAGGATGCTGACCAACTAGCCTGCAGGCTTGGCTTCATAGAAGAGCACTCCTGCTCCTGCTGAATGGCCTGGCATTTCCTTGGGTCCAGGGCTCCTTAGGTGCAGGAATAAACTTAGGAAGCCAGTAATGTTTTATAATGACTGCCAGGGGAAGAAGACCCCGGGTAGATTTATGAACCATAGTGTTTTCCTTCTAGATATAAAAGGTTTAGTAAAAAAACTGCCAGTTTTTAGGAATATGTCTGTTAAATTCGTTTTCACCTGTCTCCAAAGTTTCTTTCCACTGGTAAAAATTAGAACATGGATTGTATAAGCAAAATAATGGATTTGGCTAAAATATACAGTTGTCATCTATTACATTGAAGTTATTTATAAAGCACAATATTAGATATTTATAATTTACTTGATTTTTTTTTTTTAGTGTATGTAAACAAAGCTTTCTCTGGAAGACAGCTTTGTATTCTGAATTTTTTATGTTTTATAGTATATATTAATAAGGCTATAAAATCCAAACAGACATATAACCAAACATTACACAGCACACTATTGATCTTTTTTTGTAGGTTTATGGGCTTTATAGATATTGTTAAATAATGTGTTAATTATGAAATAGAAAGTTCCAAATCTAATAGTTTTAATTATGCTTATTTTTCAAAAAAGAAATGTCTCAAGGTTTTTTTGTTTCTTTTTCTCCAAAATTGAAAGTCTATGTTATTTTTTCGTGAGTGATATAAAAAAGACGAAGATTACTCAGTTTTTTAGAATCTGAGCATAAAATAGGCACTTACTTTTTTTCTCAGTTCAAAACACAGAAGACAATAAAGACATAAACAATTTGTATTTTTAAGTAAATGAAAAGAAACTTAAAGGTTATGTAAAGCAATGTTGTTTTACAAATAAGCTGGAGATTTTTGAGATTAAGCTACTTAATGAAACAATTAATTAGATAATAAATGCCCTCTCAAAATCAGCTTAACTTTTTTCTCATTAAACATTTGACTATTTCAAATGTTGATATCAGAAGTGGTTCTTATAAATGCAGAGTACAGGGTCTGTCTGTGTCCCACCAAGGACTCTTAAAGGCATTCATAGTGCTAAGACTTGTGAAGGCCATCTTTCTCTGACTCAGAGTCTTTCCACATAGGCATTGTAGAGTGACTTTTCCTCCATATATTTATTTTAATCACTCATTATTGTAGTCAGGCTTCTGACATCCATGACCCCAGTTACTGAGGGCTATGTACAAGTGGAACAGTTATTGCTCCTTTCTGGCTTTAAATACGGAGAGGTTTCTTTCCAGTGTGTAGTTAGATACGGAAAGCCCTTGATACAAAAGCATGTGAGCGTCAGCATTTTGCAGCCATCTGTTTCGCTCATGAAGAGATTAGCCCAGCTAAGGTGCAGATTCCCATGGTCTAGATATTCTGTGAGATGAAGTGTTGGTTGCCAAACACCCTTTGTCTAATACCCACCTCCCACTTCTGAACAACTACTGCTGAGTTGAATAAGGATGCCCTGGGTCCACTGTGACATTCTGATTCACCTTTCATTTTTCACTCCCTCGGTTTTTATGCACGTACATTGCCTTCTTTCAAAAGCATTGCAAAAAATAAGACATAAGTATGGTTTATGAGACAGTCTCAAACCGATTGATTTAATATAAAATTTCATAGCACATAAACAGCAATCCTCTTATATTCCCCTCCACATTACACAAAAACTATCATGCATTAGTGGACATTTTATCTATGCACCTAGCACCACTGTGCCCACCCACAGCATTGTCCCAACCCTCAGCAGAAAAGTCTCTCTTCTGACAGACATTTATGGAATTAGGAAAATATAACTTGTTTCCTGTGTCTCACATAAGGACTTAATTTCTCTATACATTGGTAATCTCTCCTCCTCCTTTTTTTTTGCCATTTTTCTCTGCCTGGATCATCTATGAACATCATGTCTTCTCCTTCTCCTTATGCCACTTGGAGTATCATCTAAAACTGGCATAGCTAGATATTATATCATCTTTGGATAAATTCAATATTTTTAACATAGAGGTGATTATGATTTCGTCTTTTATGTTTTTTAGTTTTAACAGGTTTTGAAACTAATAACAAATATGAAATTAAGAACAGCTTTGGACAGAGGGTTTACTTTGCAGCAGAAGATACTGATTGCTGTACCCGAAATTGCTGTGGGCCATCTAGACCTTTTACCCTGAGGATTATTGATAATATGGGTCGAGAAGTCATAACTCTGGAGAGACCACTAAGATGTAACAGCTGCTGTTGTCCCTGCTGCCTTCAGGAGGTCAGTGAGCAATTACCAGGGCATTTTGTAAAGTAGTTCAGCAAGAATTTCTACCCTGTCATTGAACCTTTCATCAAACATAGGCATTACGATTATTACATTTACATATATTATTTTGCCTTGTAGATAGAAATCCAAGCTCCTCCTGGTGTACCAGTAGGTTATGTTATTCAGACCTGGCACCCATGTCTACCAAAGTTTACAATTCAAAATGAGAAAAGAGAGGATGTACTAAAAATAAGTGGTCCATGTGTTGTGTGCAGCTGTTGTGGAGATGTTGATTTTGAGGTAAGAGATGTCATAATGTTTGTAAGATTTGCTTTCCTAATAGAAGAATGTAATTTTGCAGGATATTATAAATGCATTAAATAAGTATTGTGTGCCAATGTCTCAACAGCAAGATAATTTGCTCATATATTTAACTTTGGTCAGAATGATAGTTATCACTCTGATTAAAGGTCACTGTTGGTCATGATAAATGGAAAAAAGAGAAGCAGACCTATGTAGTCAAATAAAAATAAGCAAATCATCTAACACTTAAATGTGGTGGTTTCTGTGTGATGACACTGTATATTATCCATTTTAAACAGAATGTTAACCTTGTCATCTAAGTCTGATTGCCAAAGCATATGGATCCTTCTTAAATCTGAAATATCAGCTGCCAGTGCTCAAGGCCATGTTCAGAATGTCTGACATCTTTGAATTCCTACTAGAAACCCAATTATGCAAAGATAGTTTTGAGAAAATTAGTATAATATATACTACCCAATTATGCTTCTCTGTGTTCTCTGCTTTTCCCTATATTAAATTAGGTCACTGGAAGCTGCAACATATTAATATTTGTATATTTACTGTAATATATTGTAGAATTTCATTGCAGTAGTTCTTCAACAACAGATGGTCTACTTTTACAATCCAAATTTTTTCATTGCAAATGTTTAAAAATCAGAAGGTTTTATGACTTAATCTTGATTTCTTGTTTCTCTTGGAAAATCAGAAAACTGGGTTAACTGGTCCCACCTTTCCACAGAAAGGGCAAAAATCTACTAAAGATGTGTGGGGCTGCCCCTTGTAATAATGACATGGGAACTCTATCACTGTCTCCACCCCTTACTGAGGTTTTTCAATATCCAGTGTCATTCCTTTACATGATCTGTCTGCCTTCTTTAATCATATGGTATTTGATTCCTCTGTCAGACCTCAGCTATGTAAAGATGAATCCTTTTCCCTCATTGACTTAATAATCTAATGACAGAGATTTGCAGTTCTAAGGAGGAGGTGATGTAGAAACTTTAAAAAGGCTCTTATAAAGGGATTGTATAGTGTGTGTATGTATATGTGTGCATAATATGCATGTATAAAATTTTATATAGGGGTATGCATAATAGCAGTTCTTCATGTAAGGGATGGAATCTCTATCCTACATCCAGAGAAGTGAAAAGTAATTTCTCATTCAAGGAACAATATTGACAGAAGTTTGGCTGGCATATATTTTACTTTTAGTAAATAAATGTAAACACTGGAAAAGCATTGTGTAATCCTTATATTTGATACTAAAGAATTTATGTTTCATGTAGCAGCCTTCCTTGATGGATACCTTGAAGCATCCATTCCATGTAATAAATTAACTTTTCTTCTATTTATCCAGAATGATGATATCAAGGTACTCTCATGGAAAGAATTGAGAAATAGTCACTTGAAGAATTTTCCGTAGGGTTGACAATGGAAACTGTGACACCTCAAAGCAGAAATTATTGGTATGAGGGATCACTAAGGAACAGGAAATCCACCAGGGTGCCACTGGGCATGGAAACTTGAAGTAATAAAAGAGATAAAATCCTGTTCCACAGCAGGAGCAGGAGTCATTCTAAAACAGAGAATAACTCAAGAGGCATTTTATCGGTGTACTGTGTGGAACTAATTCATGGATTTGATGTCAATTGAGGATGAAAAAAATTTTGGAGATAAACTTGATGTGTTATTATTCTGATATTACATTGGCCAAGTTAAGAATCTTGGAGGAAAAACACTTGATTTGTGTCCTCTTGACCATTATGATAGTCTGCTTTTTAAAAAGTAAGGTATCAAATACTAATACACATCTAGGTCAGGGACCAGCAAAATGTAATCAATGGGCTCTAGTTGATTATATAAAATATATATGGGAAGTTAATGACTTGAATTACAGTCATGTTGGATTTTGGTTATGTAGAGGAAAAGAATGGAGAGTTTTCAGCAAACAGATAGTAATTGAATCTCTAAGAAGGTTATCTCAATGGTGAGTAAGAGAGAGCCTAGTAGACCTTTTATCCAATATAGATAATAAGAGAGTCTGTCTCCTTCAAGGACTCTTGGTAGGGGAAAAATATGGCCACACGAAACTGACATACCAAGTCACTTCTGTCTATGAGCTTGAATTCCTGCCACTGTTGTGTTTCAGGAATCTCAAAATACAGAAATTGATCCTGAGTGGTAATAAATTCTATATGGTCAACTACAGCCCACAGATTTTTTTTCCTGCCCTCTCAACTAGATTTTCATTAGTATTCAATAAATATGTTTTTAAAAAGCAGGCAATCATAATGGTCAAGAGTATAGACACTGGAGCCAGATACCCAGGTTTGAAACCCATCTTCATAACACTTACCTGTGTGACTTTCAACAAATTCTTTCACTTCTCTTTGCTTTAGTTTTTTTACATGAAAATTGGGTGTAATAACAGTAAATAAATAAATAATTAGCAAGTAAATAAAATAGCTTACCAGCAACTATTAATATACTCACGATACACTTATATTTCTTTGCTACATAACTAGATCCTATATACTGTCGTTATATTTCAGTATTTTGCATTTATATTTGCATTGTGAGATGAATCTATGGTTTTCTTTTTAGAATGATTTACCAATTAGTATTACGTTTATGGATTTAAAAGTTTAACATTATACAATACCAATTTATTATTTCCAAATGTTGAAATTTTATTACAGTAATTTTCTATTCCAAAATGTCTACAATTTAGCTAAAAATTATCTAGTCCTGATAATTTATTGGTTGAAGATCATTATTTGCATTTCTTATCCTTGCCATAAAAAAATGTATTCTCTACTTCTTTAAATTTCTTGCTGTAGTAATCAAAAAGGGCAAATGTTAATATCTTTGTATAGTGTTAGGTTTACAGTGGCTAGTAAGTTGTCAGCTGCATTTTTCATTTTTTTTAAATTTCAGAATTAAAAAATAAACCAGAGTTTTCATTACTAGCTTCAAATGCTTCAATGACAGCTATTAGCAGAAAAATACTAACATGTACAAGAAAGGATTTGTATTCATTTATTTTTCCACAGTAGTATTTCATTACACATAATCCCTAAAACTCAGCCGCTTGCAACAAGCGTTTATGCTCATGCTTAGGGGTGTGCAGGTCAACTGTATTTCAGTGGATGTATTTAAGTAGTGATTTGGGCTGCATGTTAACCTCAGTCTGCTCCAGGTATGTTTGTTCTGTGGCTGTAGCAGCAGCAGCTACCTGAGTCATGCTTTTCTAGTGGCTTGTCACTGAAGATCATAAGCCAGGCCAAAGCACTTAGCCCAGTTTAAGGACACTACTCATGTCATATCTGCTAACATCCATTGTTCAAACAAGTAACATGGCCAAGCCTAATTATGAAGGAACAGGAAGTATACTGGCCATACAGAAGGAGAGGGAATGAAATGAATATTTGATGAACAGTATTATGCTATCAGTTTCATATTAGATGTTTATTTCTGGTATTTTACAAACTCTCCACTTGTACTAAAATAAAGTGAGTCAAGTGTTTTTAGATTCCCCACATATATTTAGCTGAAAAGGACACTCCTCTGTTAAACACAACTATAGATGCGCCTAGTTTTGTGAATTTCAGCTACATTCAGTCCCCACCTGCCCTCCTAAGAGGAGTTGCCTTAGTCTGAGCACAGTCCATTCAACCCTATATGATGGCCCTGGGCTTTCCTCAGGCAGAATTGTGAAATTAGAAAATTGCTACTTTGGAGCTCATTTGTTTATATACTCTTCGTCTTTTATTATTCACACCCCACTAGTTACCCACTGTTACTTCAGCCCTTGTCGTGAGGCATTTCATCAAGTTACTTACTGGTATTTGCCTTTACTCCAAACTGCTAATCTTTTCTAGGCGCTTAGCATTTCATGTTTGGTAACTCACAGTGGGTGGTAATAAGCCTTTTCATCATATTTAACCTTTCGGTCTGTGTAAACTGTGCTTCTCCTAAAGCAGAAGTATAATAGGAATTTTGTTCATTACCTTCCTGATGGCTTCTAGAAATGTCATCACATAAACATTTCATATTTATATCTTTTTTTGCCTAAATTTTATTTTGGGTCAATTCAAATAATTTATTAATGTCTATTAATATAAAATAGAAATTGTTAAATATTTCAGAAAAACTACTTTCATATAATTTCTCTATATAATGAAACAGTTTTTTTCATATATCTATAAATAGATACCGGAGCCTCTAGTTATCTAATGTGGGTTACATGTTCATGGTTACATATGGTACATAATTTTAATACCATATTTGTTTCATCTTCATATTTGAAAGTACTTTTGCTATAAGTTTCCTAAAAATATGTAATACTTTTTTTTCAATTTAGATTAAATCTCTTGATGAACAGTGTGTGGTTGGCAAAATTTCCAAGCACTGGACTGGAATTTTGAGAGAGGCATTTACAGATGCTGATAACTTTGGAATCCAGTTCCCTTTAGACCTTGATGTTAAAATGAAAGCTGTAATGATTGGTGCCTGTTTCCTCATTGTAAGTCTGTTCTTATTAATCTTGATTATAGATGCTTTCTCTATATGCTTTCTACTAATCATTCTGAAATGATTCAGTAAAGTGTATATTTCAAAATGACTTTTTAAAATTTATAGATTTTTAAATCAGGATTCCCATTTAATCCTAGCTCTGAAATTCTATTTGATCCTGACACTCTGGGGTGACTAGTTTCTGTCTGAAGAGTCTATGAATATTCACATGGCAAGAGAGGGACTAAGGAGGCGTACTGAGGAGAGATTTTAGTCTCCCCTTAAATCAGCCATCTCCTACATGCTTTGAAGAAATTGAAAGTGGGCATATGTGGAAAAAAATTAGTGAAACAAGGAAACTTGACCATGACTCATAGTAATTAAATTAAACCATCTAATATAGGAGTATGAACTACAGTAAGAGTGTGCATTCACTCAAGTGTGTAGACCTAACTACCAAATTACAGGAGATAATCGGATATACCAGTGATTCTGAAATTGTCTTCACATTAGAATCACTTAGGGACCTTTAAAAACTGTAAGTACTAGTCCATACCTCAGTTCAACTGAGTCAAACTTCGAAGTTCATATAGTGCTCCAGGTGGTTCCAATATGCAGCCACAGATGAGAATTATGGGGATAGAGAAAAAGTCACATTTAGAGAAAATGACCGGAAGATTAATTAAATTCATACAGGTATCAATACATGAATAGAATTATAAAATTTATTATTAAAATGGAAAGCTAAAGGTAGAACTTATATAACTATAGAGCTTTTCTGTGTTTATTACATTTAATTTTTTTAACAGATATGTTACTGTGTTTCACTAGATCCCTTAGTATTTCTGCATCTGATAATTGATCTCTGTTTTGTTGCTGAAAATTCATTTGTATATTTTTGTTTTTATCTAGGATTTCATGTTTTTTGAAAGCACTGGCAGCCAGGAACAAAAATCAGGAGTGTGGTAGTGGATTAGTGAAAGTCTCTTCAGGAAATCTGAAGTCCGTAAATTGATTGAGACTATCTAAACTCATACCTGTGTGAATTAAGCTGTAATGCCTGTAGCTCTGGTTGTATACTTTTGCTTTTCAAATTATAGTTTATCTTCTGTATAACTGATTTATAAAGGTTTTTGTACATTTTTTAATACTCATTGTGAATTTGAGAAAAAGGACATCTGAGTTTTTGCATTTATTAATGAAACTTCCTATAAAAAACTGCTTTGAATTATGATCTCTGATCCACTGTCCATTTTACTACCGAATATTAACTAAGGCCTTATTAATTTTTATATAAATTATATTTTAAATCTAGTTACAATTTATTTCATGCATAATAGCTAATGTTATTTTGCAAATGCCATATATTCAAAAAAGTTCAAAGATAATTTTCTTTACTGTTATGTTCAAATAATATTCAATATGTATATTATCTTTAAAAAGTTAAATGTATTTTTTTAATCTTCAAGAAATCATGCTACACTTAACTTCTCCTAGAAGCTAAGCTGTACCATAAATGATACATTCATGTTCACAAGATATTAAATTACCAGTTTTTAAATTATTGTTAAATAAAGAACAAAATAAAGAACAAAATGATTCTTGTCCAAAGAAAGGCACATTTTAAACACTCCTTCACTCTAAAACTCGTACTATTATAAATTTTGAAAGTTAATATTTATATATGAAATGTATAGCTTTTATACTCTATCCTTTCTAGAAAATGGTAATTTTCAGATGTTAATTAAATATAATATTATATATATATATATTCACAGAAAATAAACCTAAATAATGATCTATTAGATTCAAATATTTAAAATAAAAACTTGATTTTTTTGTATATTTGACTTTTGTTTTTAAACAAAATGTGTTCAGATGGTATTTTGAACACTCATTCAGTTAAATGATGGTACATTTGAAGCAGGATATTTCCCTGACCCCTTCCTGGGACTCGAGAAGGGGTGTCTTGTTTACTCAGCCTGCCACTCTCAACTCCTCCTGGGAGGGAGTGCGCAGGCAAACAAGGCAGGAACTGGAGTGCACAAGCACTGGAACTGGCTGACCGCTTTGGCACGGGCAAGAGCAAACTCCGTGCACGCCCTGTGGTAGCAACCAGGTGTGGTTGCCTGCGATTCCTGAAGCCCCAGAAGGTGTGTTACAGTGCTCTTTTAGCTCTGCAGTCTGTGGACAGCTTAAGTGTTAACAGCTCAGTGAGCTGTTGTCTTGTCACGTGGGACAGCTGCCCTCCACCAGCAAGGGCAAAGGGCGAGTGTTAGTGCCTTTTATATCTGCACTCATGGCTCCCAGGCTCTTGTCCAGCATCCAGGAAAAATGTGGTCACAAAAACAACTGAAGGATGGTAAATGCGGGGATTTTATTGCTGAGGAAAGTGACTCTCAGTGGAAAAGGGAGCTGAAAAGGGGACAGTGGGGTAGGTGATCTTCCCCTGAAGTCTAGCCATCTCCAGCTGGATTCTTCTCTGAAGTTACACTGTCAAGCTATCCCTCTGAAGTCAAGCTGCTTCTCTCCAATGTCCAGCCATAGTCTCCACTCCTCTCTGACTGAGTCTGGGGTCTTTGTAGGCACAGGATTGCGGGCAGGGAGAGCCATGGGCAGTTTAGGAAAAGGCAACATTCAAGGAGAAAAACATGGATATAAATTCTCACTTTGGGCCAGGGTTTCAGGCATTTCAGCTTGGAGGTAGAGTTTTCACTGGGGACTCACCCTTTTCTGCCTAGAATTTCTCTGCCTCCTGTCCCCATCATGTTTAACTGCCTTTTCCTTTCAAATCTCCTTTAAAAAGGAGCAAGTACATGACACTTTGTAGTAAAATCTGTACCAGAGTTGGAAACTAGGTTTTCCACCTGTCAGAAGCTGGTAAGAATTTAGTAATCTCTTTTGTAATGAAGATTGAGTTGAAAGATGACATGAACAACCCACAATATTCCTCACGCAATGGAAAAGTGTGCTTAAGCAATAAGGGCATGTGGAAGAGTCTCTCTTTCATAGTCAGCACAATTCTTATAACAGCAGCTCTCCTCATGGTGTTAGTGCCCTAGACCTCAATAGCTCCAAATGGCAAGTGGTGAGAACATTAGTATGCAGGAGATCTTCAAGAAAAGCCAAGTCTAGATGATTTCCCACAAGCCTAAACAAATCGCCAGATGCCACATTCCAGTGATGAAGTGTACCCATGGAACTCACTCAGAGCGTGTGCTTGGTAGAGATAGCATGTTAAGAAAAGTGGAGGTACTTGCATAGCTGAATCCCAATGGCATTGTTACGCCAGTTACAGAAGAGAGTGGAAATAGGATTTCCAAACTGGCCCTAATGTGTCAAAACTGACCCAAAATAAGGCTTAGAGTACTGACATTATCTCTGTGACAGCTACATCTTACTTTCATTATTTGTCTCTCTCTAAAGAGGATTCTGAATCTTTGGTTAAGTAAAATAAAACTAAACTGATCTAAACATTTTTTTTCTTCAACTCTGCAAAGAAGATCTGAGCAAAACCCCACATATTTTCTGCAGAACCTATACTAGACAAATATCTTATCATTGCATAATTACATAGAGAAAATCACACATGAAAAAATCGATATATAATTAAGAAAATACCAGGAATTGTTTTTCAAAGTTTAACTGTAATCTTAATGAGATTTGAGGAAATGTTGCATATTTTTTTATTTCTGCTATGTGAGTTATAACAGTGAATGGAAAGTCACTGCGTGTGCCTGACTAGGGAAAATGTTGAGGAGGAAAAGCTGCAATGGATAAGCATGGAGCTGTATTTTTGGTCTTGGGAAGAAAGTTCTAGGTAGGTGGTCAGTGAGGAATGGGGAGAATGGGGAGGGAGGAGGAAGACAAGATTTAAGGGATGTCAGTACCTCTCCTATGTACCTCTTGGGGGAGGGTTGAAGAGTGAGGGGCGTGTAAGTGAAAGCAGAGACAAGGCTGGGAGAGGAAAAAACAAAAAGCACCAGCCACAGGCAATTAAGTTGCCAGAAAATCGGTGTCTGGGCTCCCAGCATCAAGTTAGCTAGCTACTCTAGGCATAAGTACTAAAGCTTTAACTGCATTTGGGCTAAAAGAGCGACTGTAACTTTAGGGTAACTAGAAAAGACTCTGTAGAGAATCCCTGCCATCAGTAAGAATGGAATGATTTAAAATGTCTCTGGGCACAATGAAGTGCTCCGAGTGCTTGAAGTGCCAGAAAAGTGTACAGGGTTTCCCTCCATATGCTGCCTCTCTCCTTTCCTGTCCCTAGCCCAGCATACACTGCCTGAGTTTCCTAGGACCACGTTCCTGCACCTGGCACTGTCTCTTCAAGCTCTGTGCTCCTCCTTATGCCTTCATTTCCCTCAATAGTCAATAGTATCGTTGTCAATTGATTATGTTATCTACCTTATAAGGTCAGTGTGAAGATTCAGTATTCTAATGCAGGTTCAGAGACCTGAGCAGGTTCCTGCAGTAGAACCAGTGTAAAAAATGAAAAGGGCTATGTGTTGATAAAAATCAATGGGTTTCGAAACACCGGGAAGTGTCTCAAAGCCAATGAGGAAGATTTGGGCTAAATTAAATTTCTGTGTTATGATTTGAATAGCAAATAAAATTCATTTAAACCCTAGGAAGAATACTATCTCCTCAAAAAAAAAAAAAAAGATGTCTATGCAAGATGCCAAGCTAGGGAATGATGTTCATCTCACAGAAGTGTAGATTAAAGGAAATTAAGGCATGGGGAGAACACAGTCTCTGGCTTCTGCGTTAGAGTCCTTTTTTTTTTTTTTTTCTTAGCCTTATAGTGTCAAAATGTGGCAAGCCATTTTAAGAGAGGGACAGTAGCTGGGCTCAGTGGCTCTTTCCTGTAACCCAGCACTCTGGGAGGCCAAGACAGGTGGATCACCTGAGGTCAGAGGTCAGAGGTCAGGAGTTCAAGACCAGCCTGGCCAAAATGGTGAAACCCCGTCTCTATTAAAAATACAAAAATGAGCTGGGAATGGTGGCGGGCGCCTGTAATCCCAGCTACTGGGGAGGATGAGGCAGGAGAATTGGTTGAACCTGGGAGGCAGAGGTTGCAATGAGCCGAGATCACGCCATTGCACTCCAGCCTAGGTGACAAGAGTGAAACTGCTTCTCAAGAAAATAAAAGAGAGAGAGAGGAACAATAATCTGGGTCCCTGAAACCAGATGAAACAACTGACAATACAGGGTTTGAACTCATGATTTACAAACTGAGAGGGCCATAGAATGATAAGCAATAAGTACAGCTGGTCACAGAGCTCTGCACTTAACAACCCCCGACACATAGACACACACATCAAGCATTCAAGTTAACGTTAATCTACTGTTAATGTTTATACGGTAGGAAACATCAGATTTATGCCAAAATGCAGATTATAAATTTACCCACATTGAATTCTGACTAGATTTGCAAAATTGATCTGCTTGCCTACTAAGGACAATTTGTTTCTACCTGTGGATTCTGGGAGTTTTCCATCATTAACACATTGAGGTTATTCTGTCTGGCAGTGATAGGGAACAAACATTGACCTATTTATTTCAGCAAAGGAGTTAGTTGCTAGGTAAAATTTCAGCTTTAATCGGACATTGCCAATAGACTGCAACCACCTGGAAATATCTTAGAGAAATTCTCAGTTATATTGACTTTACAGAGTTAATTAGATCTTAGTTTACTACCCAGTCCGCTCGGGCTTCTATACCAAAACACCTTAGACAGGGACAGTGTAATTATAAATGACTAAAATTTGTTAATTATAGTTCATGAAGCTGAGAAGTCCAATATCAAGTCACCAACAGATTCTGGTGTGTAGTGAGGGCTGCTCTCTGCTTCCAAGATGGCACTTTGTTGCTGCATTCTCACATGGTGGAAGGCAGAAGGTCAACAGGGACCCAACCGAGCCCTTTTAAAATGTCACCGATCCAATTCGTGAGAATGGTGCCCTCATGACTTAATCACATCCTAAAGACCTCATATCTGAATACTGTCAAAATGGGTCTTAGTTTCCAACAAATGAATTTGGGGGGACACATGCCTTTAAACCATGGCACCTACTAAGCACATTTCTGCTCAATCATACTGTCTGAATTCTCTCCCCATTATTGCAAGTCACAAGCAGAAGATAATTTACTCACAAAAGTCTTTTTTTTTTTGCAAATCTATTTTGGTTTTTATGAATAAGATAGATTCGCTCAAATAATTCACATAAATGTATTTGTAAACTTTATAATTGAGGAAATGAATATAAAAAATGTAAAGCTGATTGATTTAGGGGCACTGAAACTGCTCATCAACTATTTAACAAGTACATACAGAGCTTCTACACTGGGCCAAGAGTTATGCTAGGTACGATTTCTCAATAAGCAACAAAAATTATTTTCTACAAGGTGCTTAAGGTCAATTATACCTATGGAATGTGTGATTATAGGATTCAGAGTACTATGGAGAGAGTTAGTAGGGACACTGAACTCAGTTTTAATGGTCAGGAAATTAGGGGAAGTAACTTTTAAACTAAGAAAGCTTGCTGGACAAAAGGGAAGTGAGAAGATTATTTCAGGGAAAGGAAAGAACATAAACAGAAGTCACCTCAGGGGTCTGAAATGTGGTTAGGCCACTGGTTTTGTGTTCCTTCATGAGTGAAAGACATGCAGGGGGTGGGACATCTAAAGAGTTGGCTACATCATACAGTGCCCTAGTCACATTAAGAAGTTCAGGTTGGGGCCAGACGTGGTGGTTGACACCTGTAATCCCACCACTTTGAGAGGCTGAGGTGGGAAAGATCAAGTGTCCTTTCCTCCTCATAGCTCTCTCTCTCAGTCTCT